GTTCTGCCTAGAGAAGAGAAAACTCCAGGGAGACCTTCGAGCAGCTTTCCTGTACCTGAAGGGGACCTTTAAAAAGCTGGAGAAGGACTTTTGACAAGGGCTTGTGATGATAGGACAAAGGGGGATAGTTTTAAACTGAGAGTAGGTTTACATAAGATATCAATTTTTTAACATCCTCACATAAGAATGTGAGGATGTTAAAAAATTAGAACAGGTTGTCCAGAGAGATGCTCCCTCCATGAAAGTATTCAAGCCCAGATTGGATGGGGCTTCAGCATCCTGATCTACTGGGTAGCATCCCTGGCCATGGCAGGGGGTTTGGAACTAGGTGATCTTTGAAGTCCCTTCCAACCCAAATGATTTCTGTGATTGTATGATCAGGGGAGTATGAGATGTTGCAGCTGCAGCTGAGAGAATGACAAAGAGATTGAGAGACCTGACCTTTCGCTTTTTCAAGTGACTTGATAGATCAACTTAGCTGCCTGTGAAGTGGTAATTTGTTTTGTTTCTTTTACAGAACAGAGGTCCATTGCCTCTTTTTTTCTTCTCCTTGGAAATGTCATTCAGTCTGGGAAAATTTAGTTGGATTCAGTCTTTCATCATGCCACCACATTAGAATAATGTATTTAGAAGAGTTATCAAGGATTTTCTACATTGCTTTCCTACAGGCATTTGCATATAAACTTTCTTCGATATGTTTCGGTGGCCTCACACCAGTTGGGTTGTTTTTCTCTGCTATTCATATGTTGGAGGCTAAAACCATTGCTATAATTGTATTCATAAACCTTTATGATTTTTAAACATGCTTATTCTGATTCTGTGTTATCCTCAGAAATACTTTGAATCCATTACCTTGCTCTGTTGAATTAATTTCAAAATTTTACCTAAAGCTAAATGCACCTCCCATGTTGTGTGGAAACCGCTTTGAAATTAAACAGACATTTGAGAAGCTTCTGTTGGCTGCCTCAGTGTCAAGCACGTGAAATATTCCTCCCACCGCTCTTGAAAATGAAGAGCTAAAGAAATAATTTTCTTTTTCCCCCTACTTCCAGCTAGATTTGAACTGTCAGAACATAAACTCATACCATGATTAAATTCTGATTTTTCCTTAGTATTGTGTGAGAAATGATAGAAGACTTCAGTGCATTAATAAAGCAGTTTAGACACCCGTCTGCCGCAGTAGTAGAGCTCAGAAGATCAAAAGAACATTCTCATCTGCCTGACACACACACACACACACACCCCCAGTGTTTGTTCATTAATGGCATACTTTTAGCGTAGGTTATAACTGTACACATTTTACAACAAAGCGTTGCCATGAAGTCCCCTGTCCCTAGGGAACAGAAGGAACAGAAAAAAAAGTGGTTGATTAAAGCATTCTCAGCAGCTGAGAACATCTCTAACACTGACATGTCTTACTGTGAACTTAGAAAGGGTGGGAAGAATAACTGCTCACCACCATCTTTATTTGATGGTATTGTTCAGAATAAATCCCCCACTGGTAGAATAATCCCTGATAAGAGGCATCCTAGCTTTCAGAAATCATGCTCGCAAAGCGTACACAGTCAGGGGATGTTGTAGTATCAGTGCTCCATAAAATATGCACAAATTGGTTTGGGGTTGCCCATCTGTTTTGGTGACAGAAAGTCAAGGTCTAGATATGTGTGTCTTAAACCAAATATGACCCATTTTAGGTTCTGAAGTAAAAGAGAGTTTGTCCTTCCTTCACAGTGACAAGATCCATTGTGTTTTTCGTGATACTAATTTCATAGAGTCTCTAAAGACCCAAACTTTACTGAAAAGCAAAAAAGCCCATGGCGGGAGGAGAGGGGTTGGAACCTTTAAGGTCCCTTCCAATGCAGACCATTCAATTATTCTATGATTTGTTTACTGGTTTTGCAATTTTAGAAAATAAATTTTCTCACCTCTAGTGTAGGAAAATCCCAGTTGTAATGAGGTTAACTGGGTGGATTCCAGATCACACTCATTCCTTGCATGGTAGCATTGACTTAGTGGCAGAGCACCAGAAATGAATCTGTCCCTTTCTCTCTATGAAAGTGAAAGTGTGTTAGGCAGGCATTTCAGCACACAGAGTAACGTGCCTTTGGATCATACACATCTAATCCTCTTTATACTTTGCTGACTGTAACCTGCTTAGTCTTACATGAAATGTATTCGTCGTCTTTTCCTGAGCCTGATCCAAAGCCTGTTGAAGTCAGTGGAAAGAGTCCAGATATTTTTTCAGTAGTTTTGGAGCTGACTCTATATGAACAGCTGGTCTAGCACTGAGTCTTGTAGTTGAAAGACAAGGAAAATAAGCAGCACCAAACCACATTGGACTTGATGCTGTATTAAATATATAAATGAAAGTAATGTGAAACTTGTAAAACCAGACTGGACAAAACACTATGAAACATGCTGCAGGGAACAGTCTAGTGCTAGCAGGGGAATAAGTTAGCTATTTAATGATTTCTTTTCCATAGCTTTTACTTTTCCACACATTCTGTAATGTAACAGTACTTTTTTTCTCCTTGGGCAAATAGCTGTCAGACAGCAGCACTGGGATGAGAATATATGTAGAGTTTGCTTTTATGTTACATTACAAAAGAAGTATGAATACCTTGTGTTATTCCAAGTATAAAATTACAGGTGTCAAATAATTTGGTGCATTAAATCCTGTGCCAGAAAAGTAATCCAGTAAAAATAGCTATGTCCTGTCAAAGCTGAGCAGTTAGTATTGTTACGACAGTTTCTTGCATGGCTCCAATAGTGTAAGATGGCAAAAACAATTGTAAGAGATCAGCAAGAAACTTGCCTGGAATCACTGAGAGCATAGAAAGACAGGAGGATGGAAATGAGGTAAACCTAATGACCCAAAGTGAGAATCTGCCTGGTCTGATTTACAGTTGGTTTGTACTTTAAAACTGCTATTAAAGAAAGGCTGGTTGACATCTTTGGGGCTGATTCTTACCCAGAGATCCCAAAGAATTAAATTAGAGAGTAATTTGTGCTGGGTTCTGGGTAAGTATGTGGTTGATCCTCTGTCCTAAGGATGTACCACTTAAAAAGCAGAAGAATATTTAGCTGGAAAGGTTGAAGAATTTTATCATCTCCACATTACAGGTGGGAGTGTAAAACAGGGGTGAAGAAGTTTTGGCTGGGTTAAACAGTCAGGGTCTGAGTTGTCTGTGGCAGTGAAGCCCTAAGTTCTGTCAAGTGCTTTGCAAACAAGGCCATCCATACCAAACTGTGGTATGGATGTGGAGTTGTGAATGAATGTATGTGGTGAATTTTCCTGGGGACCTGAAGTAAAATAGGAGCTACAGGAACAGGTCATAGCAGACCTATGGGTTTTGGTATGTGAATTTCTCCTCAAAAGATTGTGAAGAGCCAGATACACTTTATGCAGCTTCTGGAATTTAGGTTAATAATTTTGTTGTCCATTCCACAACAGCCAGGACAGAAGAAAATTTACATAGTAGATTGTGTCTACTAGGGGACAGAAGAATCAATGCATTTAATACTATTTTTCAGGTCTTCAGAGTTACAGTGAAACCTGGACATAGACAGCCTGATTTGCTAAATTGGGAACATATACTCCTTCAGTCAGTATGGATGTTATGAAGCTAATTTAAGGACATAGCAGCTGACAAGTGAATCTTCAATCCCTGTCAAATCCCTTAAGTTTATGACCAGTGTGAAGTAGTTAATATAGAAAAGAATTTTTTACTCCTGAATTCACATGTTTCCAGATTAGATGTGTTTAGTTTCATGGTAATAATCAGAACACATTTTTCTTAATATTTTTGGGATTAATTTTTTCTGCTTTATAAGTCACTCCCCAAATCCCAGCTCTCTTCCCATTCTTCTTGAAAACCATGGGAGTCATATTAGTTGTCCACACTGGTATTTTAAGTAGGTGGCATGAAGGGTGTGTCAGGCTGCATAGTATGCTGCTGAACAGCAGGCCAATTCCTGGTGCTTAGAGGCTGCAGTTGTGCTGAAAGGTCAGAAACACCAAGGACGTATAGTGTACCAAAATTTGCCTGTCCTGAGATAGTGAGGAACAGTCACACATGTTGATTTACAGAAAAACTTTGTTTGGTTCCTTTTTTTTAATTTGCAAACCATGTGCTCTTGCTGAATATAAATATCTCATTCTGCAATGATTAAATCCATTTTAGGTTTGTTTCCATTAATCTGTGAAAAGACTGTGCCAAAACCTAGAATCAGCTATGAAGTTGATAAATCATGTGTTTTTTTTTAATTTCTGAAAAAAATCAGCAGTAGGTTGTCAGTTAGTACATCAAAGGATGCATCTAGTGTACCTCGGTATGCTGTAACATGAGCTATTTGTTCAAAAGTTAGCTCTGGTTAACTAACATGACTATTCATTCTAAAATAAGCACTCAGGCAGTGTTTGCTCCCAGGCAAATACTTGTTCTGCTACAGTTCTTTCTCAGCTCAGCTGCCTCCAATCCCCTTTGCAAGTGCTGAAGTTGTAAGCCTTTGTAGTCATGAGAGTTAATTACTACTCATTTTGTTCACTTTTCTGCATGGCCAAAAGCTTTTATGTCTTTTACATGATTTGGGAGTGGAAAGACTTGCCTGCATTAAGGGACTGTTTCTTATGCAATATGTGATTAATAGTTGCCAAGAAGTGGTCTGCCACATGTGTGCTGGCAGGTTGGTGGCTGTGCAGCTGCACTGCTAATTGCATGGCTGGGCTGGGTAAGCACAGTGCATCTGATGATGGAGATAGGCTCCAGGGCCCTGCAGGAGATGGAGGTTAGGTAAACTGGGCCACCTGGGCTGTGGTGGCTAGATGTGGCATCTGGGGACAGATGAGATGGATCTACTGAAGCCTGGACATGTGGAGAGAACATCTAGCAGCTATGATATGGGGCAGTCATAAAGGAGCAGAGGAAGAAATTAATAGCAGGCTAAAGCAATTCATATGGCAGTCAGCTGTACACAGCGTGGCCCTTTGGTATTGGACTGGACTCCTTAGTTTTGGGAGTGTTTGTGTAGTAGGAGAGGAGCGTGTATTATTGTTTAGCTTTCGTATCAGTCCAAGAAAACTAGGTTTATCTCCCAGCTCAAAAGCACTGTCCCTACAGAAATGGATATTCAAACACAGTGATCTTTAGAGGTTGTGACCTGCAGTAGCAGGAAGCTCAGGAGAGACTGTATACTTTTAGTATCTCTAAGCTCTGGAGCTTTTTTATTGAATTATGTTTTTCCTTTTCAGTTAAATAAACCATAGCAAAAAACCTTTCACTCTGTGCTAAGATATTCTCAAGTGCTCTTGTTTCCAAGGGTAACTTTACTGGGGGCAGCAATGCAGTCTCAGAACAGAGCTCTTATGTGTTCCAGTTACAGAATTACTTCCCGTGCTGCTGACAGCTTGATTTGTGAAAGAAAAAAGAACAGCAAAACAAAACTCAACCCACAGCCTGTGCAACAGAGAAAAACACAGACTTGCTGTGCTTTAGGGAAAGTGTCAGACACAAACATTTCAAAGGAGGAAAGCTTCTAGTCTTCATGTACATGATAAAAATCGTTTTACAAGGGTAAGTCACATAAGTGTAAATATTTTTAAGGTTTAAAAGTTTCCTGTTTAATACCTATGGGATAGGTCTGTGCAGCTAGCTGGAGGCCAGTTTTAACCTTGGACCATTGAAATCTGTTGACCTGTGGTTTGGTACAGAGCTGGCCATTGTTGTTTTTTTCCCGCTTTGAAATAAGGGATATTGGGGAAACCTCTAGTACTGCCACCACCCAAAACAAAAAAAATCCACATATCTGACTGTGCGGTAGACATGCTTTACTTAGCTGCCAAGTGTTGCAAAGTAGCCAGATACTGAAAATGCTGCTAATTGAGCAGATACCAGACTTGGAAACTCATCATTATGTGTTTATACTGAATCTGGTAGATACTAAGAGGACTTTAGGTGCGTGTATAATTCCAGAACTGTTTAGTTCTGGTTTAAGACTAAGAAGTAGTTGTAGAAAAAGAAGACTTAAGTGTTCTGCAGTTGAGCAAGCAATTTTATTTGTAAAGCAAAATCTCAGGCTCACGATTCAGAAATCTGGTACAATGCTGAAGGAAGCTATGTCTTGATTTGCAGCTTATAGAAACAGAATTTTGCTAATAAATGTGTTCTTCAGAATTACAGAGCAGCAGATTCTTAAATGTGGAGATCGTGGCTTGGACAGTAGCCTCCTATGATTACTACGTCCTGTATTTTTATGATAGCTGAGACAGCTTCTTCCTGGCTATTTAGTTATGTCACCATTAAATGAAGAAAAGGAATTGAGATGACCTAGTCTGGAAGGGATAAAGCAAACAGCAAAGCACTGCCATTGGTCAAACAAACTTGCTTTAAGCACATTCTCTAGTTAGTCTGAGTCATCAATCATCATTTGTTCTCTTCTTCCTCCTCTATCTTTCCCTGAGCTGTATTATAAAGCAGTGCTGTGACTGGAATCAGGAGTGCCCTATATGGGAGTGGTCCTTAGAGAAGAAAGGGGTGTGGACTGTGGGTAGGGAGTGAGCCAAGGCATAGAGAGACAAGCAGAGCCTAGTTTGCAAGAACTGCTTCAGTCAAGTGCTGCCTCTTAAAAATAGCTCTGGAAGGACATATCCAACCATGGATACCATGCAAGCCATGCATTAGTCCAGTAACTTCCTTGGTGCCGTTCCCCGCACTGCCTGTTCTACCTCTCAAGTCTGGAGTTGCCCCTGTTTCTTCCTCGTGATGCAGGCTTTGGTCCCAGACTGTGTATTCCACTCCCTGTTATTTCCCCATCCTCAGATGTTCACAGTTGCTCACAAGTACACAATATTTCCTAAAGTCAGCCAAATACACAGTTTTGAGGATGCACTTCTAGCATGTGCTGAGCTCAGAAATCTATCTTCACCAATTTAATTCCCTTATAAGAACATGTCAGAAATGTTTTCTTCTCTTAGCATGTCTGTATAGACATGTATGTTCATCTGTGTATCTGTGTGTTTATCCCATTATTAACAGTGAGCATTGTGTATAGACATCAGGGATGAAATGGACTGTAAAATTTCCATGCCATCTGCCCAAACAGCACACTGGCTAGCAAAAGAATGCTCAGGTGTTTATAAAAGCTAGACTGAATGATGAGGATGAGGATGATGATGATGTTTCTGTGTGAGGGATGATGATGATACCTTTCAACTGGCAAACTTTTCTGAAACTCAGAAATGTTTGCTATGTCATATGCCATCTTTTCAAATTTGTGATTCCAGTTTTCTGCTCTGTTAGAGCACCATGTAGATTGACCAAAACAAAGTTAGTGTTATGACAAAATGTTTTGATATCTTGTCGTAATTCCAGAAAGGGTTTCTCACCTCTCCATCAGAGAGAGCTGGTTGGCAGCCTGGGCTGAGGCTGCAGCAACCCTAGCTGACAGCTGACAGTAGCTGTGTCATTGGTTTTGTTCTTCCATGGGACCATGGGACAAAAGCAGAACCGTTAAGGTGGCAGTAGAGGTGGCAAATCTGTAGACTGAAGAATATAAAATCAGTTATATTATTGGTTATGCTATCATCCAAGTTCAACCAATTGCATTTATGTTGAGCAACACTCAGAGCCTGCTGGAGCCAGTGGGAATTTTGCCATGAGCTTCCCTGAGGAGTAGGATTTTACTTATTGTTTAAATTAGCTATATCTTCATGGGAGCATATGGGAGCAAATGCAAAGATCTTGAATTGAAGAAGCCAGTCAGCAGCTTTACGTGTTTATTTTGTTACACAGGTAAAAGCTGAGACAGCAAAACCCATCTGCTAAGACTTCAACACATCTCTATAAAATCTATGGTAGGGTAAGAGTATTCTTTTCTATTTTATTTATGGCCTTGGCTGCCTGAATGAGTGCATCTGGAGCTCAGATGTCTGATGCCTTTATTGTAAATTAGTTAACTTGAAAAACTGCACGTGCTGTCAGATCTTTGCTGTGGAAATGCCAGGCTCTGTAGTGGAGGTGCTTTTGTGTGTGCATATGTTTTTTTTTAATGTGAAAAGGCTCTTGAATTTTATGCATAAATACTATTTTATGTCCCTCTTTCTTTCTTTTTTTTTTTCTCCTCCCTCTTTTGTTACAGACTGTGGACTAGCATTGAATATTCAGGGAATGCTCCCCAGGGAGATTAGGGACACGGACAGATTTTAAAGAGCCCTAATGCATGGACATGCAAGGACAAACATTCTAGTGAGAATACTTGTGCAAATTTCCTGCTTTGGGGTCAAAATGCATTAAACATCTGCTTGCATGCTAAAGATGCTTTTAAAATCAGTGTAGACCAGAAATGATAAAATTTATAGATAGAGATGGTTCTCAGTGAGAGTGGAAGTACTTTGGTGATGCCTTTTGTTATAAATCATACAACAGTATATAGCAGTCCTAGAGAGAACTGCATCTGTAAATCCCTTTCTGCAGGGCTCAGAATCCCAGATTGTGCTGAAACTTATTTCAGGCAGGATTTGTTCTTATCCTTCCGTGTCCTGGAGGGCTATGGGAACTGTGACTTAACAGCAGTAGGAATTAGAGGCCTTGACATGAATAAATTGCTCTTATCATCAGTTACTCTGATTACACTGTTGTGGAAGATAGTTTATTGCTATATTTAATAAATCTACATTAAAGGAAATTGAATGAAACCAATGCACAAACAAGCAGTAACAGTACATTTATTTGGGGCTGCTGTGCAGTAGCTAAACTCAGGTAGAGTCCAGCTTTAAAAACTGGCAGCCTAGATGGGTCAGCATCTGAAACTGGGCTGCATAACAGCAACATGTTAATATTAAAACTGCAGTGTGTCATTAATTGCCACACAGGTAGTATTTATGATATAGCTATGCACATATTTAAGAATAAATGCAATTTTTAAAAAATATTTCATTCTGAAATAAATATATTGCTTTACCTTTGCTGCACATGTGCTTTATGGGTCCTTCAGCCTGACTCTACATTACTTCTGAGCCCTGTCCTCTGAAATGGAAACAGGTGTCATTTGCAATATAGAAAGAAGTGCAGCAGCATTTATATAATACTTAGATCATTCGAGTTTCCATTATTGACTACATTTTATTACACATACATTTCATAAGGCCCGTTGCCTCTATTTTACCGCTGTCTTGTGTTATGGTAATCCCTAAAAAAGCTGCCGCTAAATTGAGGCCCTTTGTTTTACATGCTGCATGCTTGCAGCTGCTGCAAGCATTTGACAGCTTCAAAGTCCATATTTCTTAAGTTCCATCTTAGTTTGGGGCAAAAGCGCTGCACTCTGCAGCCTGCATCTTTTTATTGCTGCCTGCTTCCTGACTGTCCCCATAGCTTGGCTTTTGGCTCCTCTTTGCTTTCTACTGGTTCAGACATTTTTTTTCCAACCTCACAGCTTTTTTTTCTGGCCTACCACTCCTAATTGCAGTCTTTAAACCATTCCTTGGAGACATCTTCTCTGCACTAAAAGTTGTTCCCAATCTTATTCTGCAAGCCAGTTTTGAGGACTGTGTTGGGTGTATGTATCCAATTTGCCTCTTGGAAGACAATGGTCAAATCCCAATCTGCAGCTCTATAAGAAATAAAAAGGACTGCAGCTGCTGTACCTGTGAGATATAATTTTGGATTGTTTCAGAATGAGGTGACCTCTCTAACCTTGGCCTTGCTCTCAGAAGTACCTGTGTGACCACATGCAACAATTTAAGTTTTGTATGTTAAAAGGCACAGTTCTCTGTGACAACACAACTGCTGTTGGCATAAATGGCAGGATTTCATATCTGCACTCGTACGTGGCTATTAAGCTAATCAGCCACCAAGGCAAGTCATACCCCTCTCCACAGGCTCAAATAAATACTCTGAGCCCCTGAGACGGCACTTCTGGCATTAACATGGGTGCCCTTACATACCCCTGCTTTTCATCCCTAAAATGCACAGGTGTTTCTTAAATGAGTCTTGTGTCTACTTCTGCCAGGCTTGGCAGTTTCACAGAAATGCTTGCAGAAAAGGAAATACTAAAGGCTGGGAACATTTTTGTGAGCTTGTGGTATATTCTTTTCCATGGGAGGTGGGATGCGCAGTGCAGCTGGCTTGGATTCTGCTGCTGCCGCCTTGCTGGGGCTGCTCCCCCTCAGTTATGTGCTACATGACTGAGGGGTTCGAAGGGAGGCGGGTAGAAACCCGGCAAAGCAGGATTAGGGTGTGAAAGGAAGCCACTTTCCGTGGTGTTCTTCCATCCGGAGGGGAAGGTTAATAGCGCTTGTGCGTGTGTCCAGAAGGTGGCACCGGCAGCCCGAGCCTGCCGGCAGCTCCCGCTTGTCCGGCCCAGCCGGGCGGGCACCGCCGCCCCGTTCGGAAACACCCTCGCTAATCCGGAGTCTCAGCCTCCTTAAAGGCTCTCAGCCCTTTAAGCTTGTAACTAAGCCGGTGCTCTCATTGCCTGGCTGCAGGCCTCTGAGCCCACGGGTGACAGGCTTAGGGGGTGACCAGTCATCGGTGCCACTGAGATCTTGGGACTTTAGGCAGCTAAATCCTGGCTGGAGCAGAAGCTCTAAGCTGCCGGATCGTTACCTCATTACAAAATTAGTTCTTTTAAAAAAAAAAAAAAGCAGCCCTGCATGGTGTCTCCAGACAGGCTTTTCTCCACTTCAACAATAAAACTATGTCTTGCAACAGATATGTTGTTACACATGCTGGCAAGCATTTCTCAGGTGTCACAACTCTAAATCCTAGAAGAGGAGACGATACTTTGTTTTCTCTGTTTTGGGGAAATTGCTGTGAATGCGAAAGGTGGACCTGGAGCAGGGGTTTTGCACTGTGATCTGACACTTTCAGCCAAAACATGAGGTGAGGAGACACCTTGGTGCTGGAGGGCTCTCAGCTCAGCATCCCTGGGCAGTGCAGCTGTTCTGCTACAAATGAGAGTAGATAAAGTTTTGGAGCATGCTTGAGGAGTCAGACAAGTTGGGCTTTTCTGCAAGAGTGATTCTGGCTATTATGTTCCCTTTCTTGAGATGGAAGATAGCTTTCTTAATTTGGGCAATGGTGTTCCAACCTCAGAAACCACAGGGTTCCATGTGAAATTTTGAAGATATCCTGCTCTCCATGTTGGCAAGTTGATTCCCATTTTCCCTTACTAGCATTATTGCTTTTGGTTATTAAAAAAAAAAAAAAAAAATTTCAACATATTTTCTTCTCTCCTCCCTTCACCCTGTCTCACCTCAGCAGGAGCCTAGACCAGTCTCCTGTGCCTACCACTTGGAGCCAACTGCTGTGGTAGGAAGGAGAAGGCAGGCACCAAGCCAGCTACTGGTTGCAGAGGCTGTGCCAGCCCTCATCTTCCAACCACTGCCCTCTGCTCCCTCCATGGCAGCAGTCCAGTTGTGAACATTTAGCAGGCAGGAGCAGATACTTGAGGGAAAGCAGTGGTCTGCCTACTGAACATGTTGGTCATTTTTGCAAAAAAGAAAAAAAAAATCAACAAAACAACGCCCAAAATATCCCTAAACTCCCAAAGTTCTCTTCTGTGCTGGTTCTTAGGCACTATTAGTTTTCATCTAGTGGCATGAGATTGAAAAGCTGTCTGGAATAAATTCCTCATATCTGGGCACTGTGTGTTACTGTGTGCCTTCACTTTAACAATGTCCTGAAAGGACCCTTTTTCTTTAGAGGCATAAACTGAGTAGCTAGAAGTACAGGTAACAGGGTCCATTTAAATTTTGAAAAGGTTTTAGCACTAGGGAGGAAATGTGTAGGTTGAAAATAAGGAGCAGAGGAGAAATTATTTCATGTTTCACAGTTGACATTGTGCTGGAACAGCTTGCTTTTTCCTAGGTGCTTATCTGCTATTGATGGTTTTTGGCATTCTGCATATGCAGGAAGGCAGAATATGCAGCTGGGCAAGAGGGCTGCATACAGAGAGAACATTTTTGACCTTAAAGCCGCTTCAGATATGGCAGTTCCTTCTTATTTCTTCCCATATTCCCATATTTTTGGTTTCTTATATAGTTTCCTTGTTTAATATAGTTTAGGGGTTGGGACTCTTGTTTTTTTCTTTTTTTTTTTCTTTTTTTTAAAATTCATTTTATTGGTTTACACCACTTCTGATAGATTCTTTATCACCTGCTCCCTTCAAGGCAAACTGCAGGGCTGCTTCCCTTCTGTAGCAACTGTGCTGGAGGGCTGCTGATGAGGAGCAAAATGGGAGCTACTGAGCAGTCATTTCAAGGCTGGCTATTAAAAAGAAAAAAGCTAGCTAATTAGAGCTTAAAGGAAGAGGCAACACTTTGTGCAAAAACACCAGAAGGTAGGCCCTCCAAATCCCGTACACTCCCTGTAAATAGCTATAATTAACACCACGGTATTCAATTTATTAATTAAAATTTAAGTAACATTTTCTGTCCTTGACAGTAATTTCAGAGGCAGTCAGGAAAACATAGTGGCAGCTGGGTTTCCATAGAGCAACAGTGACATTCAAAAGGGCAGAGCCACAGGAGACTCATCTCAGTCTCTTGAATCATACCTGTGATAAAACAGAGCTGAAACTGGCCACTGGATTTCTGGGAAAGGAGGGGAGGATGGGAGACACTGCAAGTCCTGGTGCTCTCCTGCATGCTTCCAGACATCACCCTACAAATGCAGTACTCATCTTGATTATCTTAAAGTGTGGGAGAGCAGTGGAAAATGTGTGTCATTTTTCCTTACTGACCAATTTACACACCAGCTGAGGGCTACTGTACATTGTTGTGTTTCACTTGGGTTTGATGTTCTGCTTGGTGTTCTGTCTGGGAGAGTGAGAGACCTCTCCTGAACTTCATGGACC